AGAGAGAGAGAGAGAGAGAGAGAGATGAAGGAAGGAAATGAACTTTGTTATCAAAGTGTTAAAAATAAATGTGATAGTTTGAGTGAATGAATGAACGAATAATGTATTTACTTGTGAATAATGTTAACTAATAATAAAATGCAATTCATTATAGAATTGAATACAAAAAGGGGTTTAAAACAGAGACCAAACTCTCGACGAGGACTATAACGGTGTGCTGTAAAGGCTATGCAGAGCACACCGATCGGTGTATCCGTGAGTTGACTATAATTTCTGGTTTACATATTTATTCAATTTTCAATTGATTTGCAATTTAAATGTTGTGTTTGACAGCAATTTGTGCCAACGCTTGCATTCACGGTCATTGCATAGCACCCGAGACGTGCGAGTGTCAGCCCGGGTATGACTGACTGTGACATAACATGTTATATGAATGAATTGGGCTTTAATTTTGATTTATCTGTTGTTTATATGCTTCACGTGTTTAGATGGGGCGGAGAGACCTGTAATATCTGTAAGTTATTTATAAATTATTATTTTCAGCTTTAAATACAACTTATGTTTTGATATATAAATAGATATTTTCTAAAAATAGTTAAATTTTCTGATAGAAAGTGGATTTTATTAGTGAAATGTTTTTAAACACAACTTTTGATTAGTTTTAACAAAGATTACTATTTCTTTAACGAATATTCTTATAATGTTTTCATTGATTTATCGCTGCTTTTAAGTGATAATAAGTAAGTGAAGAAAAATTGTTTTGCAATTAAAAGTTTTTTAATATAAATATTTTCAATTTAATGATTGAAACTTTTCGATACATTTTCAAAGCGTGTCCTAAAAATAAGTGGGGAAACAGTTGTGAGAATGACTGCAAGTGTGAGCACAACTCTAAGTGCGATGCCGTGACCGGGGTTTGTACGTGCGCTCCCGGTTGGCAGGGACCCAATTGCGATTCACCATGCTCAACTGGATTCTATGGCTATCATTGCATACAAAACTGCCGGTGCGAACACGGTGACTGTGACCACATTACGTATGCATTCAATTGCCGTACAATTTGTACAGTTGTCACAGTATTTTGATTTGATTTTTCAGGGGCGCCTGCATTTGCAAAGCCGGCTATAGGGGCCCACTGTATGTGTGAAGTGAATTATTTGGTTAATTTGCAGTGAATTAAAATTGTTGTGAATTTAGATGCAAAGAGAAGTGCTCTCCGGGAACGCATGGCGACCAATGCACGAGTCAATGCTTGTGTCAGAATGACGGACAATGCGATCACGTATCGGGCAGTTGTCAGTGTCCGCCTGGATGGATGGTTTGGACACTCATTTATGTTTTGCCAAACATTTCACTAATGCTTAAATATCTCATATTTAGGGCGAGTTTTGCACAAATAGTTGCACTTTAGTTGAAAAGTGGGGAAATAATTGCACACAACATTGCAACTGCTATAACGGCGGCACTTGTGATCCAATCAATGGCACCTGTATTTGGTTAGCAAAGCGTTTGCAATTTGATGAATATGTTTTTAATTATGTTTTTAAACGAGCAGTAAATACGGCTACAAAGGGGAGCGTTGCGAAGAAGAGTGTCCGCCCGGCACTTATGGTCTTAACTGCGAGAAGAAGTGCAAATGCTTTAACGGCGGTGTTTGCGATCCCGAAGACGGCCATTGCGTTTGCAAAGACGGTTGGATAGGATTGCAATGCGAGACCAGGATGTGTAGCGACGGCTTGTACGGACCCGAGTGCAGACATATCTGTCAGTGCCATCAAAATAATAGTCAGTTATGCCATCCCTGGACCGGCGAATGCACGTGTAAACCGGTTAGTACTCTAATAATGTATTGAGTGATTAGATTAATCGCTATAACAAACATATTATCCGTGCGAAGGGTTATACCGCGGAGTTATGTCACCGACAGTGCGCTCCGCCTTCATTTGGCGCCAATTGTAACGAAGTCTGTGACTGTCATAACGGAGCGCTCTGTCATCACATCACAGGTTTGACATTTAATTACATGTCATTTGTATTTGCAATTAATAAATGATTGTCTCGTTTAGGGGAGTGTTTGTGTGACGCCGGATGGGACGGAGCCAAGTGTGAGAAGCCATGCATTACCGGCACGTTTGGGATTGGATGCACTCAAAACTGTTCGTGTTTTGGAAACGTTAAATGTATGCCACAAACAGGAATGGTAGGCACATTTTAATTTAATTTTACACGAGTTATATAATTAATTGTAACTGTGATGGCATTGAAGTGTGTCTGTCCGCCCGGTTATGCTGGCCTCCGATGCGAGAGGCCGTGTCCGCCCACCAAATGGGGGCAAATGTGTCAAAACAACTGTTTGTGTCAGAATAGCGGCGCCTGCGATCCCGTCGACGGTTTGTTTAACTAATTTTGTGAGATTGCCGTAAAACTAATGAAATAATTGTTTACATTAGGTTTGTGTAAATGTTCGGCCGGTTATACAGCAAAGGATTGCGGGTAATGACAAACTATACGACCATATTTTTACTCAATATCTGATCCGTATTTTTATATTATTTTAGCGAAAAGTGTTCAAATGGTAAATATACTGATATATAGCAAACGAATCCAACAATTGTCTGATTGAATGTTAATTGTTTTCAAAAGGAGTTTTTGGGATCGATTGCAAGAATCAATGCAATTGTAAAGAATCCAACACTAAGTCTTGCGATCACGTGACCGGTAATTAAGATTATCTTAAGTAAATGTTGATGAACTCATTGAATTGCTATTAAGGTGAATGCATTTGCAAAATTGGTTTCTCCGGCCCTCGCTGTGAGTTTGAGGGCAACTATTGTCCAAAAGGCAAGTGGGGCTCAAATTGTGACAAAGACTGCACGTGCGCTGAGGGCACCGCCTGTGACGCCAATAACGGCAATATTTGTCTTTGCGAAAGAGGTTTGGCTGTTAATTGAGTTGATTTGAATCAATTGATTTGCTTATGAGATGTATTTCATTGATTTTAAACGATAGGTTGGACTGGAGTTATGTGTACTAAAAAAGTGAGTATATAAATGACACAAATTTTTTGTTGGCAATTATAACTGCAGTTCTTTCCGCATATTTGCATAATTGTAGGGTTTATTAATAGCTTTACTAATATTAATACTTTAGATCTGAACCATTTGTTGAGTAAATAGCACTTTTAGATAACATGCCATTACAATACATAATGTAATGCTTATAATTAAATATTTATGATTCATAAATTATAATTGTTTTGCTTATATTGTTAAACATCACTATTACTGTATCATAAAAATCATTTATCAGAGGTTTCAACAAAATTCATGACTAGAATTTGATAAAATTTATGCTTTTTATGTCATATTATTAAATGTGAACAATAATAATTTAGAAATCTCTAATTAAATTTAAAGTTAATTATATCATTAATAGAATAATAATCTATATATTAGTGATGTATTAAATACCCTAGCATAAATGATTCTAATTTAAACATGAAAAAAGTTTTTATATCTTATGAATTGAAAAGTGTAAATTTTTGACAATCTATTACACAGAATATATTTTACATTAAAAATTTTAAGATTTAACAAACGCTGGATATTATAGGTTTACAAATTAGATACAATTCTGGTACATATTTATTCACTAGAGCAGTTACATTGTAGCTGCTACTGTGTAGCACAATATTTTACATTATGTATTCATTAATTATGTTATGTTTAGTGCATTTCTGGTAAATTTGGCAAAAATTGTTCAGAAAGTTGTCCCGTTTGTCACAATACGGCCCAACCCTGTCATCATATCAATGGCCACTGTCTTTGTTCGCCCGGTATTTACTATTTAATTAAATAGTATTTTGGTTTTTGATAATTTATATTTTTATAATTATAGGATATTCTGGTCTTCATTGCGGAGAAGTATGTTATTTAAACCATGTATTAAATGCACAAAACATGTTAACCATATTTTAATGCAACACTAAATAGATCTGTCCGTCGGGACGGTATGGAGTGGATTGTGGCCAAGAGTGCGAGTGCTATAAAAATGGTGGCGAATGTAATCACATAACAGGCGGATGCAGTTGTTTACCCGGTTGGAAAGGCAAGACGTGTTCCGAGCAATGTGAGCCTGGTTATTTTGGTATGGATTGCAAACAGAAATGCAATTGCCTTAACGGCGGCACCTGTAGAGCTGTCGATGGCGTCTGCATATGTGCTGACGGTTTGTTCGGAGTTAACCCATAATAAGTAGTTTATTAATAATTAATATATTTACAGGTTTTATGGGAACGCGTTGTTCGGAGATTTGTGAGTGATTTTTATATTCAAACAATTATTTTCTTGTTTTGTCTTAACTTTCATTCATAAGAATATTCTGTATGTTTAGGTCCCGAAGGGTTTTACGGTAACCACTGTTTGCTTAGCTGTAAATGCGAAACCAATCACGTATGCGATGCCATCACTGGTTGTGTTTGCAAATACGGCTTCACTGGTGAGAAGTGTGACATCCGTTTGAAGGCATATCTACTGCGAAAGGAAGACTCGGATGAATCCAATTCATCAAACGGCGGACTCATTGCCGGAATTGTTATTTCCATTGTTTTACTCGTCAGCGCATTGGCTCTCGTAATGTATTACAAACGACGACTATTGAAACTAAAGCACGAGCTGTACGTGACGTATACGGCCGGTGCCGAGGATGGTGTGGATCAAAGACATTTCGATAATCCTATATATTCGCAGTCAGTGTCGGCGCCCAATAATATGAAGAATATTCACAATAACTTAAATAATAACAAAAGTAATGTCGCGAAAGCGAAACTCTCGTACACCACCGCTCCGGACAGCGCCTGTTGCGCACAGACAGACCTCTGCGGATCCGTTGCCTCCAATATCTACGCAGAAGTGGACGAAAAGTCGACCACAAGATTAAAGGACAATAGTTTTAATCCAAATATCTATCACAGTATAGAAGATCTCAAACGAATGGTTAACAAAAAGGAGCCCTTTTATGATGAAGTGAAGCGAAGAAGTACTGAAGGTTTGCAGTGTTTTTAGTTTTTGATTTGATTTATCTCTTAATTAATGCTCTGATTATTGGTCAGTAGTAGGAGAGCCGAGCAGTAGTTCCTACGATCACTTGCATTACGACAGACCGCGAAGTGATATTCGACCAAATTATCAAAGACTCGACACCACATCACAGCTCACGCCTAATATTACACCAAATAATTCATCGGAACCGTCGGCCAGTAGTTCTGATAATGAATTATTTAATGAATGATCAACTTTTTACTATCATTTGTTTTATCAATTAATTTTTTATCAATTTATATTAATATAATATTTTAAGAATTAACATATATTTAACATTAATTATAACGCCCTTTGCATAGCATTTGATTCATATATTTAGTTCAAATTTCCAATTAAGTCAAGATTTATTTTTTGACTTGTTTTTCGTGTGATATATCTATCCTTTAATTATTTAGTTACAAATTTCAAATCCTATTTTATTTACTGTATTTATTTTATATTTATATTATCGTTTTATTTGCAAAATATAGGAAAACATTTTTAACATAAAAGGGACAGACTTTGCATTTATTTCTATCCGTTAGCCGACTGTTAGCTAATGGATTGGATTGAGTGTTTCGAGTCGTCCTTCAGCTCAAAACAATTGTTAGAAAAATATAATTTTTAATAATTTATTTTTATATTAATATTTAATGTATGAATAATTGTATGAATTGAAGGAAAATATACTCTTTAATGAAACAACTGTTAAAAATGTCTGTTTCATTGGAGCCAAGGATCACATTCCTGAACACCTGAGCCGAGGTGTAAAATGCATTGATTTAATAGTTTATATAACATTCACTTGTAATCTAGTAATAATTTAAACAATAATTGTAAACATTGTTCATAAAACACTTACCGGTAATGATAAGCCGGTTTCAAACACAATATATCTATAATATAACTGTACTTCCATTACAATTGTGATGAAAACATGTATAACACGACTGTTGAAAGGAATGGTCAAAAATGTTAAACAAAAAAAAATTAAGTTTAAAATAAATGCCAAAAAAACTGCTTAAATAATAAAATGTTTATTTAAAAATTGATTCTTTCTTTACGTAGAAATTGACACAATTATAGGAAAAGTAAACATAAATTACAATTAAAAGTGTTGTGAGAATTGGTTTTTGTATATAAACTAATGATTAGATGACAATAACGAGAATCGAAAACAAATAATTTATTTAATTTTATCGTTGGTTGTAATGGGTTTCGTGATTCGTCCGCAAAAGAGTCCACCGCCGAAGATGACGGACACACAGCAGAAGAATACGAAGAGGAAGTAATTACGCGACGGCGACGACGTGACCACTTTGTAGACGTCGGCCACACTCTCCGCGGGTGCCATTTGGGCCGCGTATTCAAACATCTCAACCCTCTTCACTAGCATTGTCTTGCATTCGCGGCTCAGCTTCGAGTTCACGTCCAATTCGGCCAAAAGACACGACAATTGTCTCCCGTGTCCGACGGGAATGTCGGCGCAGTAGTGCTTCAAGTCTTGGACACACACTTTATAGAGAAGCGGATCCGACGTAATGTCGGCCTTCACTTGAGTGATGAGACGCGCGATCTCTCGTTTGCACGACTCGTCGCCGATCTCTTTGTTCTGGAATTTGGTTTTCAGACATTCGGTCACTTCGTTCGGATCGTCCGAACACTTGCTTTGGATCTCGTGTTGACACGACTTGTAAAGAATGGGATCTAATTCGACATTCAGTGACACCTCTCTAATGATATTCACGACTTCTATTTCGCACGTTTGCGACAACTTATTCAAAACGTATTGCTTTTTAAGGCAAGCGATGACTTTTCCCTCCAATTGGGGATCATTTCGGTGTTCGTCAACCACTTTGGCACAGAATTTGGGGACATCTCTCACACACGCCGTCTTCAGGCGCGGATTGAGTCGATAGTCGCTGTTCTGTTGGGCCAACCGTTTCAAGACAATAGACCGACACCTGTCGTCCATACCGGCAGTGTATCGATGGTCTCGCAAACAGAACAGTATGTCTTTGTAGTCGTCGGCGGAGCAAAACTTGCCGATCGCTGTCTTGCAGTTCGTCATCAGCGAGTAGTCGACAGAATTGTCGGTCATTTCGACGCGTTGTCGCTCGAAGAGCATGTGTTGACACGCTTTGGTGAGTCGATGCATATTAGTCTTCAAGCAGTTGATGACATGGGATTCGCCGGCCTTCACATCCCTGCAGACCGTCTCTCTGTCGTGTTTACACGCTTTGTCCAGATTTGGGTCTAAATTGATGTTTTCGTTTCTCTCCAATAACTCGACCCGCAATTGGTTTTGACACTCGGGAGAGATCCTAACTCTGGCCCTATTGTTGACCGTATCGTTGAATACAATACCACTCAAACACTTGATGACATCGGCTTTGGTGGTGACAGTAGTGCAGTGTTGGAGCACATCCTGACGGCACGACTCTTTGAATTTGTGCGAAAACCTATAGTTCTTCAGTTGCAACACTTGGAAGTGATTGATGGCGACCTGACATTTGGGGTACCGCTTGACAGCCATTTTGTTCTTGTTTTGTATCAAACACTCCATCACATCCTCCTCTTCGATGTCTCTGTCCATGAGGTCACTGCAGGCGTCTTTGATGGCGTGGGCGCACACTTTGATCAGTGGATAATTGAGTTCCACGTAAGCGGACAGGTCTTCGGTAAAGTTTCCGATCGCTGTGCGGCACTCGGGCTCTAACATCTCGTAGTTCTGCTGAAGACAATCCATTTCGTAGCCGCGTCTCATAGCGTCGTCTTCGGTCTGTCCGTCGGCGCGACCGCTGCAGAAGTGGGCCATATCTTGCAGACACGGCTCCTCAATGTTAGGCATGAGATCAACCGATTGTGCCCTTTGTTTCATCACTCGTCTGATGTCGAAAATGCACTGACGGTTGAGCTGTATCTTCGGGTTCGGGTGATAGACATAGCGGTACAGACAGGAGAGAACACTCGGTCCCCGTTCGGGGTCTATAGCGCCCGGTTTGTTCACCCAATCGGTCTTCGCGTGACAATACTTGACGGCATCGGAATGACACGACCTATAGATGGGAGCATCCAATTCGAACTGACGGACCATAAAGTACTGGATTTGATGCAAATTCTGTCGACAGTCTTCTTCCATGTCCTTCGAGTCCATGTGATCCATGAGACTTAATTGAGTTCCACGTAAGCGGACAGGTCTTCGGTAAAGTTGCCGATCGCTGTGCGACACTCGGGCTCTAACATCTCGTAGTTCTGCTGAAGACAATCCATTTCGTAGCCGCGTTTCATAGCGTCGTCTTCGGTCTGTCCGTCGGCGCGACCGCTGCAGAAGTGGGCCATATCTTGCAGACACGGCTCCTCGATGTTAGGCATGAGATCAACCGATTGTGCCCTTTGTTTCATCACTCGTCGGATGTCGAAAATGCACTGACGGTTAAGCTGTATCTTCGGGTTCGGGTGATACACATAGCGGTACAGACAGGAGAGAACACTCGGTCCCCGTTCGGGGTCTATAGCGCCCGGTTTGTTGACCCAATCGGTCTTCGCGTGACAATACTTGACGGCATCGGAATGACAGGACCTATAGATGGGAGCATCCAATTCGAACTGACGGACCATAAAGTACTGGATTTGATGCAAATTCTGTCGACAGTCTTCTTCCATGTCCTTCGAGTCCATGTGATCCATGAGACACGACATCACTCGTCCCTCTCCGGGCACCACTTCATTGCACAGCTTATCCACTGATGACTGACACGACTCCTGTAGGACGGGATCCACTCTCCAGTCCTCCGCGACGTTCGTCTCTTTCAGCAGGTCTTCGAGCGCTCGCCGACAGTCGGCCGACGTCTGACCCTTTTTGGCACCTCTGGAACGACTCTTCTTCGAGTGTTTCATCAAACAGTGTATTGTTTTTCCTCCCCTTTCGAGACCACCAGAACATAGGGTCTGAATATCACTGCAAAAGACAACGCATTCATTAAAATGCGATCAAATGAACGCGAGTTCTGTGTGAAGACATACTTATCACAGGCAGAGACCAGATCTGGAGTTAAGTTATAGTTGTGAAGAAGACTGCGTCGATGTGACAGCATTTCAGTCTTGCACTGGGGGTCGACCTCCAGGTTCTTCGTCACGGCGTTCTCCAAACAGAGCAATATCTGCGCGAGTCTTATCTCCTTGTGGTCGGAGGTGTCTTCTCTGCACCGATAGGTCCTGATGTCCTGTTTGCAGGCTTTGGCCAATCCGTGCGCCACTTTGTAGTCCCTGACGGCCAACATCTCCCTCTGGAAGAGCTTCTCGCGACAGCCGCGGCTCAGATCGCGTTCGAGTTTGTGTTTCATAAGACACCGATAGACGCGTCCGTCACCCGATTGGATCCGATGACAGAACTTCTCCCTATCGTCACGACACGCGAAATACAGGCCGCGATCCAAATGAAAGTCATCGCTCTGTAGTTCAGCGATCCTCAAGATCTGGTGCTCGCATTTGGGCGACAACTTGTCCGCCGACTTCTCCAGACACTCAATGGTCTCGCCCTGAGTGTGAGTCGACTCCGAGTTCGTGTCAATGCGGCCGCACTTCAAGTCGTCGATGTCTTTGGCACAAAAGTCCGTAAACTTATGGATCAGTCGATAGTCACTGAATATAATTAACTCCATTTTTGTCAAAAAATTCTTGCACTCGACGTCCGTCTCGGGAACCAATCGCTCGATGAGACACGACATGAGATTAGCGCTCGGACTCAACACCCGTTCCTCTTCGGCGTCCAAACAGTCGGCGTTTTCGGTGATGAGTCGATTGCACACACTTTTGGCGACACTCGCGAACCGGTTGTCGTTCGTGAGGTTGCGTTTGTAGGACCAGATCAGGTGATGACAGTCCGGCGACAGATGCGTGTCGTCCTCCTTGTTCTGAACGCACGTCAGAACCGATAGGTTGTTGTCCAACGAAATGCCGGTTCGGCCGCAGATGGCCTCCACATCGGCCTTACAGAACGGGTGAGCCGACAGCAACTGACCGCCGGTCGGGTCGCTTGACTTGGGCTGACCACCGATGGCCGCACTCATCGGCAGCGACTTCTTGTCATCGATGGCACCCATAGTGTCCTTCGGCTCCGATTGGCGGCCATTGAAGTGATTGTCACCTTTGGGTTCAATCAAGTGTCGCAACCCTTGCAGTGAGTCTTCGGCGGCGAATATGGCGTCGATTAATACAAATATTGTCAAAACGGATCGAAACGTTGTTTTCATCGTTGGTTTGATATGACAGCCGATGATTACATTTCCTCATGAGTTGATGTCTTCAAACACACCATTCATTGAGTGATTGTTTGAACGAAAAACACATTTCAATATTAATAACAATTAATTTCTCATTATTTCAAGTGTTGTTTGTTTTGTGGAAAACCTATTATTGGTTCACATTATGGCCATTGATTGGCAGCACTTGTGCTACACTTGCATTGCATTCACTTTTTATTGAATTCAAACCTAACCTAACCTAACATTACTGCAAACTTTTTTGTACAGTGCTATAAGTTATAGCCTATAACTTTTTAGACTATTTAAAATTTGACCATGGTCATAGATGCAGTTATTCCGTGATTATATTTTGTATAATTAATTTTGAAATTATTTAAAAGTTAATTATAAGTATATTTAGCGTACAAATAGAGACAATCAAATGATTAGTTTATTTGCCAAATACTTGTATTAAATTTAATAAAATTCTGTGATATTTTTCCTATAAGTTATTTTTGTTTTAATAACACTTATTATACGAGTTTATATGATTGTGATTCTGTGTTATCATTATTTATATATTACTTTAAATAAATGACTTTATAATTGTATGATTAGTATAACAAGTTTTAAAAACCGGATAATTGTAAACATGAGTTAGAAATGATTGCCTTAAATGAATTGAAATTAATTAATGACTATTGAGACAAATATTTGCAAAACAAATAAATATAATTAATAGATAAACTCCAAAACTGGATTAAAAAGTTAAATAAAAAGGTAATTTTACGTCAGAATATGATTTCCTATATTCTAACCACTGTTTGGTTGAGAGTAAGACCTGATATCTGATGAGCTCTCGTATAGATATCACTATTGAAATAATTATTTTAAAAAATTAAAACAACTTTTTTAATTGATATCAATCTTAGTGTTTATATTCAAGGATATATTGAGTCCTAATTCTCTTCAATTAATAAAATAACAAATATTTTTATTTAAATGATTGGCAAATACCTGATAAAAGAGGTGAACGAAAAGCAAAAATAAAAAATATAAAAAATAAGAGAATTCAATGGGAAAGTGGAGTAAAAGTTTGCACGAAAGTGAGTGTAGAATCAATATTTGATTACAACTTTTCAAAACAAATCGCACAATAAATATGAAAACTTTAATTCAAAATTTGGTAAAAAATATTTTTTACAATAATTTTTTCCAATTGTTTAAATTTTGTTAATTGTTTTTTACTACTATCTATTTAGCTATTATTAATGACTTAATAATTTTTACTAATAATTATTGAATTAACAAATTTGTATTTTATAATAACAGATAATAGTGTCGGTTGTGTTAACATCGGTGGCGAGCGATGTGTTATCGACGGAGTATTTTGTGGAAAGCGGAGGCTTTCGGCCGAAGACAGCCTCTGAACGACTCGACGGCTTTTCGGGAAACTACGGACTCGGAGGCAATTTGGGTGGACTTACTCTCAATGATATCGCATATGATTTAAGAGATTCATTTACTGAGGCCTGTCATGACGTTGGCATCAACTTAGGCCTACCGCTTGTGACCCACAGTCACGGCTATAAGTACTCTCAAGTGGTGCCTCAAACCTATGGTACAGCCGTTGACTTAAGTGCTGTGATCGCCGCCACTAAATCAGATGATTACGGGTCAGAAGTGTTGCTAACTTCGGGAACGGCTGGTTATAAAAGCAGTCCATACCAACTGTCCGACTATCAACTCAAGTCAACCCCCGAGTATCTAAGGGCAACGCCCATGTATTATAAGCCGCGGCCTATTTATGTGGATTCAAGTGATGGACACATTTCATCGCCAGACAAATATAGAGACCTATCGGTGGCGCCGACCTATGCTATAGAAACGGGTGGCCAACAGAAAGTGTCCGGTTATTCAGCCCATATCATACATCCGGCAAAACCGGGTTCACCCAAACCTTATGGCGAGTCGAGAGTTCACTTCACTAAACTTCACACAACACCGTCTAAACTGATTGTCGCCCCGACTCTTATAAAGCGGACCATCTCTGAGCCATCGGTGCTCAACGGTTACCAAGATTTGAGTGCGTTTACACACGAATATCCCGGCGCTTATAAGTCGACAATCACTCATAAGTATGGATCACAGCTAACCGGAGGCTATGGCTCTCATTTGACGGGTAGTTACGGCTCAATGTTAACCAATGGTTACCGAAGGAGTGGGTTGTTATCCGATGGCGGACTTAAAGGACTTCAATATTCTTATGTTCATAAATAAACTCAACATTTTTTGATTTTATTTATAAGTTTCAATATTTTTTAAAAGTTGGTTTTGAAAAATTAAGCAAGATATTTTCTAATGATCAACATAGATACGAACCTTTAAAATAAAATTATTTTTAATGTTAATAT